TTGAGCACTTGCTATGTAGCAAGCACTAAGCTATATGCTTTATGAATATATCTAATTTCATGCTCAGGGCACCCCGACTTTATGGTTAAGAAAAGTGAGGCTATGTGTGAGAAGTGAAGTAACTCCACTAAGTTTGCATAAAAATGACAGGCCTAGAATTTGAATTTAGGTCTAACTCCAAAGTCTGCATTCTTAACCATCTTGTATCTTGTTTCCTGTTTATGAAGATGTCCTTAAAGAGAATGATGTGGCTTGAAAATCATTTAACTTTTTCATCCTGCCCAGGAATATGAACATTTCCATCTTACTTTCCTTAAGAGAGATCTAATTTTAGGTTTAGAATAAAGAATCAAAAGAAACAGATTTCGGAGCTGTGAGAAACCTAAGGATCATTTAGTGAACTCAATATGTTGTTCTAAAGAAGAAGAAACGAAGGAGACACGGGGCTAAGACCCAGAGCAGCAACCTGCATGCAGAGCAGGCTGGAGCCCAGGTCTCCCAGGGAGTGGGTGCTTGAAAAGGAGAGTAGGGATCCGAGGTTGGTGGGGGGAGGGGTGGTATAAAATGGGATTAGTGCTTTATTTTTTCTAAAATGCTCTTTGTTCTATTTCATATCTCAAACGTTTGTTTTTTCCTTTTACTAGTATCTCGACTCAAAGGTACACCATTTTTAGGGCTTTTTTGGTGGCTATTACATAGTGAATATTACTGTGAGAAAGTCAGGATTTGAAGGTGGGCAGTCTGGCCCCACAGCTCATGTTCCTAAACCACACTGCTCTTTAAAGACTCGATGGACAAGAGTCTTTCTTCAAGTCTCATCTTAAGAAATCCTCTCTCAAGTGAATTTCCCTAATAATCAGATTGTAGGTAAAGGAAATTTAACTATTTTTTAATTTTAAACCTATTTGCTTGTTTTACTTTTTAGTGCCTTAACTGCACTCTTTCATCATAATAGTAGTATAATTATAGCACATCAAAGAAAATCTGGAAACTAGAAAATTTTACCCATAGTTGCATTATCCTATGCAGCACGTTTAGTATATGTATTTCCTTTCTGAATTGTTATGGGAATATGTTTTTAATATTCACCATCAGAGTACAAACAGTTCTATAATGTGTATTTCTCAAATTAATCTTACATAAAAGCCTGCTGTTTTAGTCAGTCTTCATACTTCCTTTATTTGTCTTGAGAAAATTCAAATAAATCCTGAAATCTGTCATCTCTCCCCAAACTCTGTACATCCTGTATCTGTAGGACCTGCTGTAGAGAGAGGGAAATATGCTCCTGGAGAGCTAAGGGGGGAAATGATTTGCTGAGTCATGAATTCCCAGGGGGCTTAGGAGCCATTCATGTTTTCTAGTCCAAAGTCTCCTTTAGCAACTGATGAAATCAAGGCCAAGAAAGATGCAGTGACTTAGCCAAGTTAGTGATAGAACTGAGACCAAAAGACAACTGTCTTGGCTCTTAAACTAGTGCTTATTCAACATAACTATTACTACACCAGCCTCCACCTGGGCCACAACACAGCTATACGTACCAGAGGAATGAACTAAGAATAAACATCTTTAAATAATGAATTTTTTCTTGAACTCCCACAGTGCTTGAGCATTTAATAAGGCCAAGATTTGTGTTTTGTTAACTCAGTGTTAAAATTTTAAAACTTCCGGATGTGTTCAAAAGAATAAAAAGTATCACTGTGTCAGTACATACCACAAAAATTTTAAAGGCATGGATTAAGAAAATGGAACTATTTTATAATTGTACATACATAAAGTGGTTATAAAATTTTATAATATTTCTAAATAGTTTTCACCATAATTTTAAAAAAAATGACCCCAACTTAATTAAGATAACCTATGGAAATGCTCTGGTTTCTGAAAGAAAAAAAAGGACCTCATGTTCCCTCTAATTTTTTGCCTTAAAGCGTTGACAGCCAATTTAATTTTCTTCTTTATCCTTTTCAACTGTAGATTTAATTGTCATAACAGTCACTTGTTTTATTAGTTCCATTTTATTTTGCCTTTCTTTTGGTTAAGAAAATATCATTTGAATTAGGAAAATGTTTTTTAATAAAAACAGGGATAGTATTTCTGAGATTTAAGTTAATACTGCTACTTAGCCACTAGGCTATGCTAGAGGACAGCCCATTTGCTCAAGCACACGCTGGCTTCCAGCTACCCCAAAAAATAGGCAAATAAACTAAAAAACTAGATATGAATTACTTAGCCACTCAAAACCTAGCTGGCAATTCATTGAACAAATTATATGAATTAGTTTATATAATTACTTTATATGACATACTCCAAAAAAATAAACAAAACCTTTTTTTTTTTTTTTTTACCAAATATGTCTTGTGGTAATATCTAGTTTGATTTTAAAAGAATAAAATCATCATTATGTTTATTTTATCCAAATTAAAGACCTATAGTCATTTGCATGTAGTCAATTATATTTTTAAAAATTACAATGTATACAGCTATGGACTGATTAGTTATCAGAAATATGAGCTTTAAATCAGATATATTTTCCTTCATAAAAAACTCATTTTAAAATGCAGCAGTTGAGAACCAAATATCATTTCACTTATCTCGGGTATTTTTCACATTAAAATTATACTCTATCCCGTATAAATTACATTTAGAACGTTTTTAAGTTTCAACTTATGAGCACAGCTTACTCTCATTTTCACTGCTTTTCCTCCAAAATGCTAAGGAGCACACAGTTATCATTATTCACACCTGTCCTTGATCACACACTGTGGCATGCACCGGGGCTCAAACGGGTCTAAGAAACCCACAGTCTAGTTGGGAATCCATATAAAAATAGAGATAGCCCTGGCCGATTTGGCTCAGCGGTTAGAGCGTGGGCTCTCGGACCAATGAGTCTCGGGTTGGATTCTGGCCAACGGCATGTACCTCAGTTGCGATTTGTCCCTGGCTCTGGTTGGGGTTATGTGGAAGGCAGCCACTCGATGTGTCCCTTTCACATCAAGGTTTCTCTCTCTCTCTCTCTCTCTCTCTCTCTCTCTCTCCCTCCCTCCCTCCCTCTCCCTCTCCCTCTCCCTCTCCCTCTCTCTCCCTCCCACTCTTCCCAAAATGGGAAAAAAAGTACTCAGGTGAGGATTAAAAAAAAACAGAGATAACATAACGTTAATAAAACATTTATTTTAGGACAATACAGGGGCCACTTACATGATAAATGAACAAGAAAGAGACTATGGTGTTAAAAAAGTTCACATAAGAAAGATATACATGTTGCCCACCTTATTCAAACAGGAAATAGGTTTTATGATTAAAGTCATAAAGGATTTCAAAATCTACTTCTGAAAATGCTCTGAAGATAAAAATCCATAACCATCCAATTCACTGCTTAATGTACTTGACTTTATCTGTGAGAGGAGTTTACCATATTTTAAAGATGTATTAATTTTTTTAACTTGAGATGTCTTTTTTCAATTATTCATTACTCATATATTAATTATTCATTATAAGATGAATTATTGACAGAACACAATCCAGTCCGAAAGCAAAATGCTATTAATCTACTACATACTCTTCTTATATTATTTCTTTGGCATATGACAAAACACTTGGGGAAAAAGGTTAGTTGAATTTCTCTTCTTAAATGTAATTAAGTTTAGTAAAATCTATTTATGAAGCACCTCAGAAAAAGATAGATATAGTTATGGTGCAGGTCAAAGTATGTTTTCCCATATACAACTATACACAGGGGTGATATTAAAAAATATTTAAAACTTACCACACGGACACTGAAAAACGTGAACCGGTGCTTGCGGCAAAGCACCTGGACTATCCCTGCCTGAGGTCTAAACAGCTATTACAGCAATGTTGAAAGCTTTTAATTCTGGTTGATCATTACTATTATGCCCAATACTGCTATTAAATAATTTTGTGAATGACTATTATAAACTATTATAATATTCTTAATTATGCTATATCACACACCAACTGTAGATATTTTCAATTCTAGAACTGAAATCACAGATATTTTCTATTATAGAATCCCTTCCTTTTACATACCATAAACTGCAGAGTTACCCAATGACAGATAACTGATGTAGCTGGGATCTGAATCATTCCTGATCTTAATCTAAGGTGAGATCCTGAGTTTTGTAGATTAAGTTGAGAGTCTATGATGTGTTCTCTTTGGTAATCCCTTCCCATCTAGGGTAGAAGTCAAGTCCAGAGCCATTCTGGGGGTTCTGAGTTAGTGAAAGGGCACTGGAATGTGATACAAAGCAATTTTTCTTCATTGCAAAGGAGTAATTTAAAAAACAACAAACAACAACAATCCAGTCTTGGAAAGGGGCTGGATTATCCCACCTTCCCTGAATCATTCATTCTGAAGCAAGAAATTGTCTTTCTCTGACTGGTTTATTTCACTTAGCATAATAGTCTCCAGGTCCCTCCCTGCTGTCTCAAAATTTAAAGATCCTTCTTTTCTTATAGCTGCATAGTGTTCCATTGTGTATATGTACCACAGCTTTTTTATCCACTCATCTACTGATGGACACTTGGGCTGTTACCAGATCTTAGCTATTGGCTGCTGTGAACATAGGGGTGCAAAGATTCTTTCTGACTGTCATTTCAGGATTCTTGAGATTTATTCCTAAGAAGTGGGACCCTGGGAACCTGAATATAACACTTGTTTCAACTATTACTGAATCTTGAAAAATATTACTTAGACATTGTCTCCATATATCACTGTTCTTTACTAACATGTGGTATGTAGTACCAATGCAATCAAGTACCAATATTATGTTAGCATGCAAACAGTTATATTAACTAAATAACCATATATACTTAGCTATGAAAGTGTCTACAGGTTTTTAAAAATTAAGTTAACCTATGTATGCCATTTTGGGGAAAAACTCCATGTGAAAACCTGATATACTGGCTCTCTCAGGGAACTGACACAAGAGATACACTGAAATGAAATCCGTAAGTCAACAGAAAAGCATTTTCAAGCACATACTCACCCACTGTGTTTCATATGAGGCGGTTTGTCCATTCGCACTGCCAATTTGATTCTTAAGTCCGAATCCTGGCTATTTTTTGGAACTATCATTCGGTGCAACTCAGCTGACTTGGAGCTATTAGAAGTTGGGTATAATATCACCTGTAGGAGACAAAAAAAGAAAACATTTAAGTGTACAATCCAAAGTGCCTAAGGGTTGGAACTACGATCTTTTCTATACATTTTCCTGTTTGAAAAGAAGGTATGAAGCCAAAATGTGCCTAACCATTTCAATCTCACCGCAGCAGATGGGTTTTCAATACAGACTCATTTGTTTTTTTGACAAATCTATGTTTTCATATTCTCACATAAGTTTTCTTCCTGCCCTGGCCAGGTGGCTCAGTTGGTTGGAGCATCATTCCGTCTGTGTCACCTCATAATGAATTAATAGCACAATGACTATAGTTGAACTGACAGTTGAAAAATACTTAATAGACATCTATAATTTCAAAAATACTCTAAATTCCTCAGGGAAGAGAAGTTCAGAAAGAAATATGCTTTGAAATTATAGACAGCATGCATAAAAAGCAAAACCAATTATTTTAAGCTGCAAAAATACACCTCATGGTTTAATATTTTCACTGAGAAACAGTATTAAAGAAAATCAACTCAATTAGAGATAGAAAAGACTGATCATAGTGCATTTTCTGCTCTAGGTCAATACCAAAGAAGAATTTTTTTCCCTGACTACATGTTTTCAAAACTATGAAGATAATGTTATAATGACTGAAACAAAGTAATTATTTTTAATAAAACTGCCAAATTACCAAGTCATCATTTCACAACACGACAGCTCCACGAAGCCAACACAGGAAGGAAAAGCTTCCTTTTCAGATGTTAGGTGCCAACTAGATTAAACAATGTATTTTCCCATTTTTAGTAAGTCATGACACTATTTAGATACATCCAACATCCGAGCCTTAATGGATATTTTAAAATGGGAACACTATCTTCTGAAGAAAAAAAATAAAGATATAACATACAATGCACTATATTTTAAATCATTCTTATTTTAAACCAATATGTGAAAAGCAAATACACATGAAACTTCCAGGTAAATGGAAAAAATTATAACATGCTCAGGTATGCTAAAATGTTTTTAAAACGCAACATGACAACTGAATTTGACATACCCTGCCAAAATTAAAATCTTCACTTTCATGTATAAGTGGAAATATTCACTGGGAAATCTTTAAGCAAGGCTCTTTTTGTCTCTAGAAAAGGCAACATAGTCAAAAAAGCTTCTCAAACTACTCTCAACTTCCAAGGTGTTAAATGTACCTACTATTTTGAGACTTTTCTCAAGCCTATTCTAAAAGCCACAGCTAAATTGAATCCAGCATATCTGTACACTTAAACATATAAAGGCACATCCAAGAACAGATGAAACAGCATTTATGATGTTTTCAAAAATGATGATCATAGTCTAGAATAAGTTTTTTAAGACTGCTAAAATATCCAATGGAATATTTTACAGGTTCCTTCTTAAATAACGGCAAATAAAAATAAGCTGATAATTTTTGGCTCAAACTGGTAGACAAAGGAATGTTATTATGAATTTAGAAGGCGATTCTAAAAAAAGAGGTCAGAGCCCTGGCCGGTTTGGCTCAGCGGTTAGAGCACTGGCCTGCGGTCTGGGGAGACCTGGGTTCAGTTCCCGCTAAGGGCATGTACCTTGGTTGCAGTTTGTCCCCAGTCCTGGTTGGGTGGTGTGGTTGGCAACCACTTGATGTGTCCCTTTCACGTCGATGTTTCTCTCTCTCTCTCTCCCTCCCACTCTATCTGAACAAAATATCAAAAAATGTCCTCGGGCCCTGGCCAGTTTGGCTCAGTGGTTGGAGCGTCGGCCTGCGGTCCGGAGAGACCCGGGTTCAGTTCCCGCTAAGGGCATGTACCTCGGTTGCAGTTTGTCCCCGGCCCTGGTTGGTCATGCGGGTGGCAGCCACTCGATGTGTCTCTTTCACATCGATGTTTCTCTCTCTCTCTCTTCCTCTCTCTCCCTCCCATTCTATCTGTACAAAAGATGGAGAAATGTCCTCGGGTGAGGATGAAGAAAAAAAAAAAAGTCCTCGGGTGAGGATAAAAAAATAAAATAATAAAAAAGGGTCAGAGACTAAGTGCTATATATTCTCTGTAACTATAGCTGCTACATTTCCAGCAATTCTGGAAAGTTTTTCTCTTTCTTTCTCCCTAAACCACTTTTTAAAAAAATGTATTTTGACATGAACCACTTACAGACTTTATTCCTTTGTAATTCTCCCTTCTATGTTTATACAAAGGTTGGTTTTGTTCCAAACTCTAAAAAGCATTTTACAGGAAGAGAATATTTAAATTAAAACTTCTGACAATTTCTCATTCTCTAAATGGCAATGATGGGTTAACTAAATAAGGTCCCAAAATAACTAACTGCAGCTGAACCGCAAATTAAGGAGCATCCCAGGATTGAATGCCATCATTTCTGCCACATTTCAGTTCTCTGATGGGTACTTCTAAATGAAGTCAGTGGAAGGATTTACTGCTTATCTCTGTTCAAGTGAACAGATATTTGAGTGCTCACTATGTAGGGAGACACAAAGATGAAAAATTATAAATGGTTCAAATCCCTCAGACCTCACAGACTTTTCTTATCAGAGCTAACAGCTAGTGTGGATCACTGGTTGAGTTTTGATCCATGTACCAAGAGGTCGCCAGTTCAATTCCCAGTCAGGGCACATGCCCAGCCTGTAACTTTGGATAATATCTGGTCATATTACTTCTTCCTATTACACTCTATTCCTAGGTTATGCAGCAGTTTTCTGATTTCATTAGTCTCTGTGTTTATTCACCATCATTCATTCGCCTTATCTGTTCTATCACCTGTATAGCTAATTCTTGTGTTAAATTTCCTTCATTTGAAAGACCTGGAATTGTCTGTTTTTCTGGATAGTCTCTGACTGATTAAGTTGTGAACACTGGCACACATCACAAATGGGGGCTCACAGAGATGAATTCTTTCTATATATCACAGATCTATTATTGCTGTTATTTTTAAATTCATTGTTTCAAAAAAACTGTATTGCCAAATAAACCCTGAACTTAGCCTTACAGATGGCCTGTAAAATAGCTTTCAGGTTCCAAATGGCACAAGCAGAAAATGGTCCTATTCCTTTACACGATTTAGCCATGGATGATAATGGGTCAAGGAAGAAGCTCTCAATGTAGGTCGCACACATGGCCAGGGAGAATAAAGGACAAAGGGTTCTGTTTAAATGCAAATAATGGTCTAATCAAGAGAACGTGAACATTGCCAGCGAGTTTTCACAGTGCCTGCCATGGCAAGATTTCATTGTTATCACTATGTATTTCCAACCTGACCATTATTCAAATGTGCAACTTAAGTGTCGCTCTCCTGGCCCTGCTTTACTGTTCTGGGTTGGTGCTAGGGCAGGTGGGGAGGGGAAGTGGAATAGTGGGCACTTAACTTGAACTTCAGCGCATAGGTCACAGAGCTGCAAAGAACCCACAGCCAGACCTGATAGAGATGTTGGACTTAGCACTGGATGAGACTTTGGGTTGTTTACCTTGAGTTGAAGCAAACGTGTTCTATGTGTAAAAGGAAGGGTAACACAATTATTGTTATACTTGGCTATCGGGATGAACTATGGCAGATCATCTAACTATCCATCAGGATTCAGGTTTCCACTAGTAAAGAACTACTTCCAGAAAGCATACAGTCAGCCGAGGACCATATTTTCTAACTCCCCTTGCATCTAAGTAGGGACACAGTTCTAGCTAATGGACTATGAAGATAACTGATTGTCTCTTTGGGGAAAGATTATTAAGATATAGATATGCCTTCTTTATCCCTCTTTACTAAACTGCTAGCCAAATGCAGAGAACTCCAATGCTCTAAGAAACAAGAGAGCCATAAAATAGAAAACAAGAGCCCTGAGCCCCCATGTATAGGAAATCTACCCATCTAGCCAGAACACCCATACTAATCTGTCATATAAATGTTATTGTTTTAAACTACTGAAATTATGTCATTTGTTTGTTATAGCATTTAGTAGTACCCTAACTACTCCATTAGTCCTGAAGCCTGATAAAGGAAGAGTAGTTTATTTAGTGAGTCTAGTTACCATTTCTTGAGCACCTACTATGTCTTGACATGATCAACAATTTTATAATGGAAATTATTAGACTGCTTTAAATTCTATTGACACAGAGATAAGATTTAGTATGGTATGAGGGTACAGATGAATTTTTGGATTCAATTGTGATGGCATGAGCTGGAATTCAGGCAATCTAGCTTTGTCCAAATGTCAAAATCAGAACACATGGCACTGATATGTAGAAATGTTTGTACAAACTTTTGATACTTAAGAATACACTCCTTGGATATCAGTTACTTTGACTATTTTCTAATTCTTATCAAGTAATAGATATACCTGTGCAGGGTGATTTAGACTCCTCAGCCCAATGAAGGGCAATTTCTAGTTATAATAAATATATACAAATCTGGAGAAAAAAAACCATAGAGTTTTGCTGCATAAGTTTTTTTTACAAATAAACAAGTGCTTAAACAATTTTATTTCACAATAAACAGTTCTATTTCATAGGACTTAGTTCATGTTCAGAGAGGTGTGTTTGATGTTGATGGTATAATAACTAAAATATTTAACATATAAAAATTTACTAAGGATTTTTATATATTGTAGATTCACATCTAAATTACATTATCTCTGTACAAAACATTTAGCTTCTTATATTATTTAGCAAAGTAGTTTCTTTTTTTGTATCTGTTTATCTTAACGTTTCTATACACAGTCTTCTTCAAGTTTATTTTTGTTAACAATATTTTAAATGTCTTGTCACTTAGCATGACAACACATTTTATGATTTCTTATCTTAAAAAAAAGCATATGTATCTTCTTCATAATCAAATGTCAACATTATTTGTCATCTTTGCTAAAGTGTAATGAAAAACACAAAATGGGTTTTTAAACTTTGTTTAAAATGCTGTCAAATTTAATATATGGGAGAAAAAAAAGAAGTGTAAATATATGTATATTCATAATATTTAGAGTAATATGGAGTCCAGGAAGATCTTGCTCTTTATACTT